TTTTTTTTTTTTTTTTTTTTTTTGTAATCATCTCAGTGGGTAGCCATGCTTTCTGCTTTGCTTTTTTGCTTTTCTTTCTCTTTCCTTGCGCTGCATTTATTATTCTCTTGCTCTTGCTGAGGTCCGGGTGCATTAGCCTTTGCAGATGGCAGACAAAAGTAAAGTGAAGTGCTCTTTACTTTGCTTTACTTTTGCAGATTGCAAATGGCGGAGGCATAGACTTGTCTTTACAGCATCTTCTGGAAAGTCAAAAAGCAGCTTTTAGGGCCACTAGCAGCAATAACCATCATTTCTCCTTTTTCCTTTTCTCTGCTGGTTTATTGAATCTCTTCTCACGCCGGTCGCATGCGCCCCGTCCATCTGAGAACTTACCACCCTGACTTTTTGATGAAATGATGCCCATAAATCATAGTGTAATCTGTTTTCTCTAGAATCGCCATAGCTGCATTCTTATACTCCTTGAACAAAGAGACCGAAGGGAACCTCCCGGATATGCTATGAGCAGCTATAGAGCTATCATCCCTCTCCTCCCTCTGCGCCTGGCTCAAAGGGCTCGCAAAATTTTCGATCCCCGGTGACAAGTACGTTTCCGGCAACGAATAAAACGGCGTCATAAGAGTGGTAGGCGTCGTGCGCTGCACATCTACGACAAGAGGACTAGTGTCGTTCATTTCGGAAGAAGAGAAACTCGCGATCTTGCTTGGGGAACGAAACGCCCATGGTTCCTCGATGACCACGCCTTCTGATGCGGATGACTTGGAGTCAGAGTCGGCCGAGTAGTCGAGCCTTGCGGCGCTCTTGAAGAGCTTCGGCGGTGGAGAAGGTTTTGAGACTGGGGAGGAGCGAAGGTGGTTTGGGACTACTGGAGGCGACGGGGATCATCTTAACAGTGATGAAGAACTCGGCAAGGCTGAGATCAGCATTGATGAGAATTGATTTGTGAAGGTCTCACAGTTTCTGGATTGTACTTGCGAAACGGCACACAAATGCCGCGTTCGAAGTCGAGCTGCTCCATGGCGGTGCTAGGTTTGGTCAATTGCCCTTCGCCCGCAGACGCCGTCAAGCTCCTCCACGTTTCGATTCGAAACCTGTAATCAAACGACGCCGAAGCCTTGGACGGCGCATTTCTATGGCTCGGCACAGTGTGAGCTCACGAGCTCAGATGCTGATTGGCAGGGAACGGAGCTGCTGTTGCGCAATTTACGCCTAGCAAAGTCATGGATTCTGCTCTGGGAATGGAGGCTGAGAGATTCAGAGAGTGAAATGGGAATGGGATGACCTTTGATGGTTAGAGGCTGAAGATCTTCCACCATTTCACAGAGCCGTAGGCTAAGATCGTGGCCACGTATAGCGGCACAACGGCGGTGAGGACGTGGTACAGGTCTGTGAAACTGATCATGTTTTCGTTTGGTTAAAGGTAGAGGCTTTCTCTGTTTTTGATGGGTTTTTGTGGGATTTGAGCACCATATTCATGGAGAGTCGATGACAGAGGTGAGTAAAGTGGCGAGATGAAAACAATCGCTGGAAAATGACCGGAGTGTTGATTCTCTCTCTAATCTAGAGAGAGAGATGGATCTGAGAGAGAGGATTGTGTTTTAGTTATTCTCTCTCTCTCTGTAAATTGTATGGGTGTGTTTCTGAGCGTGGGTGTTGGGTTGGGTTGTTTGGTTCCTGGGTTTTCTTTGCAGATTCACGGTGGAGGTGAAAAAATGAAAGAGAACCGACACAACTTTTTGTATCGTTTCCCACAGACGGCGCCAAATGTTGATGCACAAAACCGGATGGTCTTGGTACAACGTAAATCCGACCGTGAATCTGCACAAACGCTCAAGAACACGAAGAACACAAAGAACACAAGGATTTTATCGTGGTTCACCCCAAGGTTTGGGCTACGTCCACACTGATTGTATTATATTTCTCTGTTGAAGAGGGAGAGAGAGCTTAGGGGATGTGAGGAGCTTTGAGAGGGGGTGAGAGGCTTCAGAAATGGCCTCTGAGGGTGAGAATGAGCCTCTCCCTAATTGTGAGGGTGAGGGGTCCTTTTATAGAATAAGGACTCCTCACTTATTACATATTTGCCCCTTCCTTTATCCCATAATTACATTTAAGTCCCTTGAGTATTTGTACGAGATCTAAATACGAGGCCCTAAATATGGTATAAACATAATCTTTTATAAATAAATAGATAAATCTCTATACAAAAATGGTTATTTTCAGCAGTGCAGCAAACATGTGAAACTTGTAACCCAAATGATGATGACACACTCATATTACTTTGTGCTACTTAGTTCACAAAGGCTCAAACTCCCCACATTTAATACACTCCAAAAAAAAGGGGTCGAGGATTCCCTGTATGGCTTTATATGATCACATTACTTAATTATGCTTGAAAGAATACATTGCCTTCCTCCTCTAATATAATAGAGATTTTTTAGTATGATCGAAATACGGGATGGTACATTACATGCCATTACAATTGGAGAGACACTTGGAAAAAAAAATTCTCTTAAATTGTATAATGACATGTAGTGTATCTCTTTATGTACAGATCTCACTGAAAAATCTATCATACGATAACTAATACTACTTATATATATATATATATATATCCATTTTTGGATTAGTTTCTTTCCTTTAATCAAAAATAAAAATTCACGCGCCAGACGCTACGAAACCAGCTGTGGTCTCTTTTGGTTCACTACGCAACCTGGGATGGATGCTTGGAATGATCAGAATAAGCATTCCTTGGATATGCATGCCATGAGATGAGTACATTCTGTTATCTTCTGACCAATACCAAAATGTGCATGCATGCATGGAACAGACAACCATAAAACGAAAAGAGCGGGATTTATATATGATAGGGGAAAATGCTTATTTGTGAAAATTAAGGGTATAAATTAAAAACCTTATATTAATCTTCCCATTAAGCATTCATTCATGTTTTATATATGTGAAAGTGCAAACTGGGAATGGAAATTTCGTCCTCATAATTCAAGCGTATTGCTCAATGGAACGAGGCAACATGCAACTAACCAAGTCTTGAGCAAATTAATAGCAGTAGATTGCCAAATATATTGATTGTTTCTAAGATTAGGGAAGTTTGGATTGGATGGCTGATTTGTTGGTTCAAGGAGGATTTGGGTGGGTGGGTGGTAATTTGGGTTAGCTAGGCCAGTGATAAATCAATCAATTTAATCTAGGGAGTTTTAACAAAACACTTCAAGTACTATTCATTTTTAATGAAAAACCATATTTATACATTTTCCTGGTACTATTCACTATACCTTTAAAAATGACTTTTCATTAAAATGGAAGTTTTTTTGGACTTTTCGTTTGTTTTCCTTTTAATCTATTGTGTCAAACCCTAGTTGAATATCAGAATGCGTAACGAATAAGACTAATAAGAATAATAGAAATATTATTAAACAAACGAGATTGCCGGAACGGCTACAAAACCTTAAAAGACTACATTGTGACTAGCTTGTTATTCAAACTAAATTACAGGCAATATTTATAGAGAATTAAAACTAAGAAACCCTAACTCGGATGGATTAGATCCAAATCCTAAACTAACAAGCAAAATCCAAATACTAAAATAAACTTAAATACTAATACTTTCCAACCGTTTTTGCATGATTAATTCCAAGAAACGTCATTCGTTCAAGTTGTATGCCTTGCTCATGTGGAGTTTTAATGTCAGTAATGGTAATTAACGTTACAAAGGATGATTGGTTGCGTTCTCTTGTCATGTTATTTGGTTTCTTGAATAATTAATGCCCTTGATTTTTAAAACACTTACTGAAATTCTGGCATGCATTTACATACTACATATAATAGTCATTTCACCGTCATTGGCAACGAAAAAGAGTTAGGTTATGGCTCTTTTGCGTAACTGTAATTGAAATAAAAGGAATTGGATTTGGAAAGAATTGAATTAAGGAGGAGTAAGAATCAGATTTTTGTTAAAATTATTTACTTAAATTTTCTGTTGAACTGAGGAGGAGTAAGAATCATATTTTTGTTTTGGCTCTTTTTTTTTTTACTTTTTTTTTCTTTTTGAATTCATATGTTAATCAAAGAAACGTGAAATTCAAGAAAAACAACCCAGCAAAAGCTCATTTATTAGCAATGGACGGTGGTGGCAGCAGAAGTAAAATTGTAGTAAATATCCAAGGACATAATGAGTAAGAAAAATTGATTGCAATCCTTCCATACCATCCTATATAGAGGCAGATTGTCTACCTTTCTGTTATGGTGTCCTTTCTATTATTTTTTATTTGTACGGTCTTTATTAAGTCACATCAATATTTTATATTAATTTTTTTATAAAGATAATAAGATAAAAAACAATAAAAATATAAAATGTTGATGTAGCTTAACCGTGATCGTAAAATAAAAATGAATGAAAATGGCACCATAACAGGAGGACAGACAATCTGCCTCCATCTTATATAGTGTCGGTCGGGCCTTTCATTTTGTTCCCCTAAAGTTAGTAAACGAAAGTATATCCCACGTAATTAACATCAATATGGTTAAAAGCGGAAGCGAAAGTTGGTTAATTACGGCATTGAAGATTAATTCACAATGAGTAATGTTTTTTTGCACTTTTCATACTAATTATTTGTACACGAAATCAAATAGATTTGATAAAAAATTTCGCTCACTCATTAATGATGCTTTCTGCAACCGGGATTTGTTTCGAAATTGCAGTGACCCGTCCAATCAAATTAATTAATAATATGATCATTCCCAATATCTTGTGTTTTTAACCGGATATACTAATTATTAAAAAATGTAAATTGGTATTTTCGGGCAGGCAGAGGATGATGTGGCAGCCGCATAAGAGAGAAAGAAGGAGGTTCGAAATGAAATTAAGACAAAATAATGCCTTCAGAACCGGAAGGGGACACGTGTTTGTAGGATATGTCAAATTGCAAATAGAACCCTATACCCTATATAAAAGCTAGCCTCTACCCTAGCCGCTACCCTAGAGTACTAGGAGAGGAGAGCGGAAGTGTATGGGCAACTGCTTCCCAGGTGGTGGAGCTCACGGCGGCGATGCTGCAGATGCAGCTACAGGTATAAGTTTTATTAGCATTTAGCAATATTTTCGGGATTAAGCGTGCTATTATGATGTTTCACCATATTTTCTTTACATTTTTGCACAAGAAATGGGTTTTCTTCTTGGGTAAACGTTTCTCAGATGCCATGCTAGCTAGGGTTTTGAGCTCAGATATTTCCTCTTTCTTTTGAGCCGTTTCTCTTAAAAAAAATAAAAAAATAGAATATTAAAATCGTTCGACGAGGGCAGTGAGTTGACAGCGGATCCTGTGATCAGGCATGGTTTATTCTAAAAAATAAAATGTTTTTTTATTAGCACTCTATATATCGTTGAATACATTCTACATAAATATGTATTATTAAATTACTCATGCATCTTAATATAAAATGAATATTTAGCTCCAAAAAATTTAAAAGAAATTGAATACACAAATTATTTACTAATATGAACCCTAACTCTAAATTGGTTGTCTAAACCTGAACACTAAAATCCTAAAACTCCTAATTGACAAAAAAAACTCCTAATTGACAAAAAAAACCCAAATTGATAGAAATGTAAACTCTAAAAATAAAAAAATGTTACGAAATCGTAACCAGACGTACTTCATTATGGATTTTGTAAGAACTACAATTTTTTTTTTGTTATTAAAATCTATAACTACTCCAAAACAAATTATAAATTTCTCAAAAAAAAAAATCCATTATAATATAAACAAATTTTTCTTTAAGTGGTAAGTTTGGCAGTTTGTGCTACTTTCTTTTAAGTTTTGTACAGTAAAAAGAATTGAACCTATGTTCACCAAAAAAGAAAAAAAGAATTGAACCCGTTTTAATCTTCCCATTATAATTTTGAAAAAAAAAATTTCACCCATGTCCTATCATTTTTTTTTTTTTGATCAAAATTTAGTGAGATTGATTCTAGAGGAGTAACAGAGAGGGATACAAATTTTGGATTTGTACTCTATCAGTAAAATAAACCAACAATCAAATGTCATGCAGTTGACCTCATAATTAGCATTTATATGTTTAGCGAGAATCTTGAAATTTGGAGGTGTGGTAAGAATGAATAATGAGATAATGTTGAATATATGTGAAAAATGTGAGGTGTATGTAAAAAGTTTGGGGTGTGAGGGTAGTATAGGAAAGTATGTGGGGTGTATTAAGATAAATTTTGATTGAAAAAGTAGATCTGAGGTGTATTTAGTATGTGAGATATATTCAACAATATGTGAGATGTTAATAAAACAACCCAAAATAAATAAATAATTACAGAATTTTGTTTCATTAAAGGGACATGGCTTCTCTGTCTTCCCAGTTCCCATACACTCCCATCACCTTCTATTTGTGTGGTCCTAGTTAAGCCACATCAACATTTTATATCACTATTGCTTTTTGTCTTATTATCTCTATAAAAAATCAATATAAAATATTGACGTGGCTTAATCGTGATCACACAAAATAGGAATGGATGGGAGTGTATGGGAACTGGGAAAGCAAAGAAGCCAGGTCAGCATTAAAGAGGACTAATGTCAAGACTTACCCAGGCCTTATGTATATTTTCTAATTGTCTATTCATTTAATTTTTCATAAATCCAGGCATGTTGTCTCCAGTTGCCCGAATTATCCCAGAAGAAGAATCGACCCCCTTGTGTGTCTTTAGCCAGGCCGAAATACAAGCAATGTCCTGACTCACCCTTCACGATCTCAAAGGGAGAATGTTTTCCGCTTCTAGGGGAGCAATTCACAAGGGAAAAAACTCCACAGCCACGTATGTTGTCCGACCCACCCTCCGTCAATGTGTCCATGTACCTTGACAATGACAATGGCATCACTTAGTTAGCCCAAGTGTCAATTGTTTTCTTGGCTTTCTTAGCTTGCAACTAGCTATATAAGCTGAGATGAAACCATTTGGGTAAAGGTGGTAAAGGTTCAAGTGGGGTTCTAACATTTTCCAAACAAATGTGCAGCGAGAAGCTGATTGTCTCAATAGAATCGACCATCCCTGGATCACTAAGCCAATTGGATACTGCTGGTATGAGCCAAATGCAGGATGATTGTGGTGTACAATCGAATCACTGGGACTCTTATGGAGCATCTGGAAACGCATAAGCTGTTTCTCAGTTGGCGGCACTGGATGAGGGTGGCTCAATTGGTATCTTCAGTCATTTGTTTTTTCCGCACCATTCAAATGGAAGGCTACAGGGTTGCCTTCTACCTAAGTTATATGCTCAGAATGTCTACCGTAAAGACAAGCTTCTTTTCTTAACTTCACTAATTAATTTAAATTTAGCTTTCAAAGTTGCTAAACTAGTCTTTGTACAATTTGCAGCTCGCAAAGGTTGCCAAATTTTGCCTCATTGATAATGAGGGTAAGCCATAAACATTTTTGCCTGCGAAAAGACTAGCAGGTCAGCCCCAACGGGTGATTAGCCACTATGGTAAGGTTTTTTTAAAGAATTCTTGTGTAGTGCCTTTTATTTATGGTAGAAAAAAATGAGAAAATTAACTTGTCCTCTTAGTATAAATTCAATCATAGCTTAAGAAAAGAATAACTAGAGTAATAAATAATCAAGAAACCAAATCTATATATCTAGAAATTTAGATTCTGATAAATATTGAAAAATCACTAAATTGGGGTGCATTAGATTTCAATATATAGATTTGGTTTGTTGCTTATTTATTACTCTAGTTATTCTTTTCTTATAGCTAGGATTGAATTTATACTAAGAGGACAAGTTAATCTTCTCATTTTATTCTACTATAAATAAAAGGCACTGCACAAGAATTCCTTAAAAAAACCTTACCACAGTGGCCAATCACCTGATAAGGCTGACCTGCCAGTCTTCCCACAGGTAAATATGTTGCTGGCTTGCCCTCATTATCAATGAGACAAATTTGGCAACCTTTGCGAGCTGCAAATTGTATAAAGACTAGTTTAGCAACTTTGAAAGCTAAATTTAAATTAATTAGTGAAGTTAAGAAAAGAACCTTGTTTTTACAGTAGACGTTCTGAGCAGATAACTTAGGTCATCTCTAACCGAAGGCTGGCCAGAGGGCTTGTTTTAGCTCTCTGGTCCTCTAAGAAATTTAATGAACAATACAGGACCATATTTGCTTCTATTTCCAACCGAGGGTCATAGGGCCAAACATAATTTATTATTTAAATTTAAAAACTACAACAACTTCAATTTAAAAACTACAACTTATATTTAACAACTACAACTTAAATTTAAAAACTACAAATTAAATTTAAAAACAACATTAACTTAAATTAAAAAACTACAACTTAAATTTAATATCCATAATCAACATCATCTTCATCATCCACCATTGTAGGAGTATAGTCAGAGGTAAACAACTGTCGTCGGGTCATAATTTCTTTTTTTTTTTCTATCAAAATAGGTCTTACTCATTGAAGTGTAATTCGAAGTGTTCATTTCCATATTCTTATCATCTATCTCTTATTGTATTTGTTTGGTATGTTCTTCATGCCTACGGCTCCTTTCTTCCGCCTCAAGGGCAGTTTGCTCCGCCACTTATTGTTGAGTGGCGTAATCATCATTTGCTTTGCCTTTTTTCTTCAACCTTCATGCCTTGTTTCGTCTCATAGCCCTAGGTATGGAACCTTCACTTGAAGACGGATTTTCTACCCTTGTTTGTTGAATGGCAGGAGATCCATCTTCATCCATATTTGCAGCTGAGGATGCAGTTCCGAACACTGGCATATGACCTACTCTATGTTGAGATGGATCTTCAAACAACACCTACCCTTTACAAATTTCCCAACAACTGTGAAACTGAAAAGGTTTCAAGCTGCCTTCCATATACAATTTCTCCGCTTGGTGTACCTAGAAAATATAATTACAAAAATTAAAGGAAATTAATTTATGAAATTAAATGTAATATAATTAAATGTATTTACAAAAATTAAGGGAAAGTAATTCATGAAATTAAATATAATATAATTAAATATTTAAAATAAATTGTGAAAACACTTACTTCGTTGTAGTAGTTAAAGCCGCTTACATGTCTACTTACGACTGCAAACAGTGATTGATGCTATTTGTTCAAACTTGGGTGAAGATGTTTCTTCCATCTTGAAAAACAACTCTTCTGGTTTTGGACATTCAATGGAGTGGTGCTTTCGTAGTACTCTAAGTATTTTTTGGAGACACGAGTCCAAACACCTTCACTTGTTTGAGAACTCCGCCTCACACTATCTTCTGACACCCATATATGAGCCCTGCATAGAGCTTCATCTTCCTTTCGGGTCCAAGCCCTAACTTTTATTACAGGCGAGACCATTTGAAAATTATTGAAATAATTGAAGGAAATATTTTTGAAAGAGGTAAGAAAATATGAGAATTGAAATGGTGTGGGAATGGTGAAAAATTTGTGAGGAATGGTGAATGAATGGTTTAGGTATTTAGAGGGAAAAAAATTAGAATTTTCAAGAATTAAAAAAAAAAAATTGGCCCAAATTTTTTTTTTTTGAATCCAACGGTAATTAGCATCAACTAGCTGTTGGATTCAAAAATTTGTTTAAGAATTCCTGTCGGATAACCGACATGATTAAATGATGTCGGTTATATTTAACAGCAATTCTTAAATTTCTAGCCAGCCCTTTGGCCCTTTCAAATTTCATGGGGCCCACAAGCCCTCTGGCCTATCCCTCAGTTGGAGACGGTTTCGGGCTATTTTATACTATCTGGCCCTTGAGACCTTTCGGTTGGAGATGGCCTTAGGGTAGAAAGCAACCGTATAGCCTTGCATTTGAATGATGTGGAGAAAACAAATGACTATAGATACCAGTTGATTAAAAAATAGCTCTGTTAACTAAATCATAACATATCTTCAGGACACTGATAAATTGTCAAACATTCTTTGTACTGATTTTTTTTTTACAAAAACAAACCATGAAAGAGGCATATGATATGAGACGGTAGCAGAGGGAGTGAACAAGAGATGAAAGTGGGCATGGAGGGTTCAATATTCATATACTGGGATTGATGCTTGCCCCCCAAATTGTACGAATTACAGGAAGACCGATCCTTCACCCTTGTCATTTTTCTATTAATCTCTCACTTGGATAGGGTGTGAAGATGATAATCGAGATTGAGAAGAAGTTGACGCCAAATTTACTTTGCTCACGAGTAAGTATTCATCGTTTTCCAGATTTTTTTTTTAATTTTTAAATGGCAAATAAAAAATTTAACACAGTTATCTCTCAATTAAGTCATCAGACATGTGTTACAATATTAGCAAAGAGACAGCATGAGACACAAACAAAGGAACAGCAAATCCTTGGTCGACCCGGAGCGAGGAGGATGGGCACATGACGTGCACGTGAAGAATGATGAAGCGACACTGAAATTGTCCAGGTCGTTGATGGTGAAATTGTCGAAATCGTCTTCGAGCTTCTGAGACTCTTTCCATTGCAAACAATTTTTTTAAGGATTTTTTATTTTAGTTCCTATATTTAGAGATTATACTATAAGAACCTCCTATCATGGATAATATATTGTTTAAAAATCTGATTTGTTATAAATAGACAAAAGTTAGAAAGATAACATTTACTAGTGACATGAGCAAAACAAGTGTAAAATATCACACTGTAACTATAACACAAGGAGATGACAAATAAAAGAGGGAGGGATAGATACTAATGTTATTGATCTTTTCTTCTTCTCAGTGTATTTTGATAACACACGGAGCGCTTTATTTATAGAGCAACTCCAAACAAGCGTAATGATTACACTTTGAAATTTACAGTACACACCTTTTGAAAATACAATCCTCATTCATTTCCCAAGTCCACATTAATGTGTGGGCATTCATTAATCCACCAATAGTTTCAACATTACTGTGTGGGCATTCATTAACTCACCAACATTTTCAACACGAGTGTTGTTTTAAAGTTTCTAAATGAGTGTTCAAAATTAGTGATGAGTCTCTAAATAGGTACTTTTTCCCCCCCCCCCGCAATGTTATTCGATGATTGGGTCGTTCAATTTCAAGTCATTAAACAAAAGGAAAACTAATGAAAATCGTTTGAAAATCGTGAGTTTTAACGATAAGGACAAAATAAATGGTAAAGTTAATATTACCATAATTGACTTTTAAGTGTAAAAAATATATTAAATTTTGTCATTAAAGTGAACATCGTTTGAAAAATCGTTTTAACACTTTAAAACAAAATTTGCAAAAAACAAAAACAAACCAAATAAAAAGTTCTCTGTCATTTGCTCAGCACTGTGATAATTTTAGTGACAAACTCAATATTCATTCATTTATTTGATAAACTAGACGTTTAATCAATTTCTAATCTTTACCTAAAAAAGGATTAAATAGAAAATAGATGATTTTGATAACCAAATTAGATAGCAGAACAAACGAAACAAAATGAAGAAGGTAGCTTGCATTCTTCAAAATTACGATGTCCATTTGTACAAAGTACTTATGTTATGTAGTAATACACTTGTATAGTATGTGACCAAAGTCACAATCATCTTTTGACAGGGGTCTCAGGGGTGGTTTGGGAGTGAGGTGCTTAAAAAAAAAACACCCATGAAAAAAAGCTGTGAGAGTTTTAGGTGTTTGGTAAACTGAAAAAAAGAAGGTTTATTTTGGAAGCTGCTGTGAGAATAAGCTGAAATCAAAGGAAAAAGCTGAAACTGCTATTTGTAGCTTTGGAAAACTGATTTTTTTTTTCAAAGCACACGGAGTTACAGTGCTCCTTTAATGAAAAGACCCACTATCAGATTGCTTTTTTTTTTTTTCAAAAGCACTTTTACAAAAAAGTTTACCAAACACTATGCTGATTTTTTTCACAACCGCTTATTCTCACAGCAGCTTTTTTTTAAGCACAGCAATACCAAACCAGCCCTCAGCCTATACAACAAAACTTGGGTGTTGCATTGTTTGTGAATAAAAAAAAAGAAAAATTAATAAAAAAGATTTAAAAACTTTGAGTTTTAACAATAAAGATAAAATCAAAGATAAAATAAATAGTATCAGAATTGATTTTTTAAGTTAAAAATATAATTTTTCGTTTCAATGAACAGTATCGAAAATTTTCGTTAAATTATTCTAAAAAAACAAAATCAAAGTTGGGTGAGAGTCGTACATTACACAAAAAGACTTATCCTCTCATCCGCCACTGCATTGGCCGTCAAATCTCTACCACCAATCTTTAATCCAAAACCCACCAAAAAAATCCAATTTTCTCATCAAGCATCGAACTTTTGCTTCTCTTTTATTTCATCTCCCTCTTCTGCTTCCTCAGCATTTTAACTCCACAACCATGGCTGCAGCTGTAACTGCTGCTGTCTCCTTCCCCTCCTCCAAGTCCTCCTCCCTCCCCACCAGGACCTCCTTAATCTCACCTGACAGAATCACCCTCAAGAAGGTAAAAACTTTCAGGTCCTGGTAAATCAATCACTTGGGGACCAAGTTCGAGTTCGCTTCGTCTAGTTTAGATGAAATTAGTGTAGAATACCGCTTGTACGAAACAAAATAATGTGACATGGGTTGTTGTTGGTTTCTTCAGGTTCCTTTGTACAACAGCAATGCTGGTGGGAGAGTGGTATCCATCAGAGCCCAGGTGACCACCACCGAGACTGCGCCACCTGCCAAGGTTGTGAAGGAATCCAAGAAGCAAGATGAAGGGGTGGTTGTCAACAAGTACAAGCCCAAGAATCCGTACATTGCCAGAGTCCTCCTCAACACTAGGATCACTGGTGATGATGCGCCTGGTGAGACCTGGCACATGGTCTTCAGCACAGAGGGTATGTCCCAAGCCTAATAATTTCGTTTGGAAATATGCACAAATACCCCTAACAAATTTTTAATAAATAATAGAACTCGAGGGACACTAAAGTGATTTATATTATCATGACTGCTTAAGTGCTTATTGTGTGTTTATTATGTTTATTGTGTCCCGATTCTAATGTGCGGAAAAATGTGTAACCGGTTCTATTTGTGCATATTTCCCAATTCGTTTTCGTCTTGAACTAGTGATTTACAACTACCCTCACTTGTATTCGCTTGTAGGAGAGGTGCCCTACAGAGAAGGGCAGTCCATTGGAGTTATTCCAGAAGGTGTTGACAAAAATGGGAAGCCTCACAAGCTGAGGTTGTACTCAATTGCCAGCAGCGCCCTCGGTGACTTTGGAGACTCCAAGACTGTGAGTTTTACACTGTTCCAATCATATGTACAATCCATTGGATTTTCTGCTCATGTTGTTTACCAAATTGATGTGAATATGCTGCCATTTTAACACGAAATGCTGCAACTTTAGGCAATTAGTAAACACGTTTCGTTGATCCGAAATCTGATTGCCTCATCCAGGTTTCTCTGTGTGTGAAACGTCTTGTGTACACCAATGACGCAGGCGAAATTGTTAAAGGAGTGTGTTCAAACTTTTTGTGTGAGCACACAGATCTCTACTTCTACGAAGTTATTATTCCATTGAGGCACTAAGAAAAACCAATTTGTTCTTTACCACAAAATCAGAACATCTTGTTATAAGTTTTCCGTGTTTCAGGTGACTTGAAGCCCGCAAGTGAAGTGACGATCACCGGACCAGTTGGAAAAGAAATGCTTATGCCAAAAGACCCTAATGCAACCGTCATCATGGTATAAGTACTTGCCATATTACGTATTTAGGAAGACAACTCGATCATCAAATGTTTTACTCCGTGTGAGTAGTGTTGGTTTTCTGAAATTTCTTTACTAATGCAGCTTGCAACTGGAACTGGAATTGCTCCTTTTAGAGCATTCTTATGGAAAATGTTCTTCGAGAAGCATGAAGACTACAAGGTAAGCATTACCGCTAGGTTTTTTCCTTTAGACACCTTCGGACATAGAACACTCCAGCCCGTCATAAAACGTTCTTCAAGTGCATATATGACCAATGAATTCTCATTTGTTCTTTGATTGGCTTTTTGTCTAACGAACGATCAAATTTTGACATTGCGTGTAGTTCAATGGTTTGGCATGGCTCTTCTTGGGTGTTCCTACAAGTAGCTCACTGCTCTACAAGGAGGTAAGATATGTCAAGACTCAAGATTTTCTTAATTCTAAGTCAATCCTTTTCAATTCGCCGAAAACTTGACTTAATAAGAAATACTTGTGGGATACAGGAATTTGAGAAGATGAAGGAGAAGGCCCCCGAAAACTTCAGGCTTGACTTCGCCGTCAGCAGAGAGCAAACCAACGAGAAGGGTGAGAAGATGTACATCCAAACCAGAATGGCTCAGTATGCAGAAGAGCTATGGGAGTTGCTCAAGAAGGACAACACCTACGTCTACATGTGTGGTCTCAAGGGAATGGAGAAGGGTATCGATGACATCATGGTCTCGTTGGCTGCCAAAGACGGTAAGATTGTAGATTGCATTGCTCGCATTTGTTGAAAAATGTAAAATCCCAAGTCGAAAATTTGACAAAACAAAGTATAATATATAACGAATGGTTGTAATACCAATTGCCCAGAGGCGTTTTGTGATAAAAAATTAAAAACCTCACGTATGTTGTGCTAGTAAGTGATAATATACAAGTTGGGGACATTATCAATGTGATCAGTGGTGGGGGTTGCCGGTCCGTCTCTCTGAAATCTTCACAAAATTTTGATAGAATATTTTTGTGTTCTGATAAATTTTGCAGGCATTGACTGGATGGACTACAAGAAGCAGTTGAAGAAATCAGAGCAATGGAATGTGGAAGTCTACTAATTTCTGGTCATCTTGTACAAATCTCTCTCTCTCTCTCTCTCTCTCTCTCTCTTTGCGATAAAACAAGGAAATCTTGAAAGATTACCACTGCAGTATGTAGATAGGTGAAAGTCTTTGCATCTCTACTTTTTTTTTTCCCTTCTATTTTAATAAAGCTTTTGTATTATACTATTGAAAAATGGCCACAATAATTTTATTTATAAGGGTGCAAATTTAGTGGAAACATTGTAGACTCGATGTTCCTCTTCTCTCGTTTCAAGAGAGTGAACATGTCGTAAGTTTTTCTTGTTTTAAAACGTTAGTTTAATTGTCTAAAAAAAACAGTGAGTGCTTTAAATTCATAACATTGTTGATGTCGTTCTTTGAAGAAGACATTCGGTAGGGTGAGGCCTGATAAAACCAAAATATAAAGAGTTCATATATTTTTGTGAGAGGAATGCTAGCTACCTTTTGCCATATCCCTTTTCCTGTTTGTCTTTCTTACTCATCACTTGACATGTGTATTTCACTAACAAATTAAACTACATAATTAATGCATTAAAATTATAAATTTTATATGATACAATGGTTTAAGCATAATCATCATTAATGAACTCTAATAGTGAATTAAGTAGAATATCAAGATTAGGGACTAATTGCATGAGAATTAGGGGTGGGCACGGTTTGGTTCGGTGCGGTTTTGAGTGAAATCAAAACTGAAACCGAAATTTTTTATGGTTCGGTTCGGTGCGGTTTCAAATGGTTTCGGTTTGGTTTTTAAGAAAAAATGTATAATTTGCAATTTAACATATTAATAAGCATTTCCCAGTAGCAATAGGAAAAAGACATTTGTCATGTAAACAATTAGCAAGTTGTATGCAGTTGTGATGTTAACATATGTTTGTGCAACAAAAGGGTGTCCCATACAAGGTATAACATAAAACAAGTTGAATAACTTTGAATTCATTAAACGTGAGCGAAACTTTCATACTAGAATATGTGATATCATGCTTCAAATGAGTGGACTTCATTAAATCATTGTTTGACTCTTGATAACAAGATTAGTCCACCCTTGTACATGTGTGTGTGTGTGTGTGATGATATAAAATAACAAAGGTCCTTCGAGTTAATAAACAAAAGAAAGTGATGAATGATGATATTCTAATGTGGTTTAGTCCATACTAAAAGTATGGATTCTAATAAACAACCAATTAAAACATGAAATCTAATATGAACATTTAATTATATGTTTATTAATATTTGCGGTTTGGTTTGGTTTTGGTGCGGTTTTCAAAAGCCAAAACTGAAACCAATCCGTTTTCTATGTTGCAGTTCGGTTTCAAAATCGAAACCGTTTCAAAACCGCAAAACCAAACCGTTCGGTGCGGTTTGATTTGGTTCGTGTTTCGGTTTCGGTTTTCGATTCTAAGTGCCCACCCCTAATGAGAATAGTCTCTTTTTGTAGTTGAGAAGAGTTACACGCTTATGTCTGTGATTGATGTGGGACTCTATGAGTTTTATTCTGATGTTGACACATGTTGTTTTGTGATTGACCTCCTGGTTGGATAGAAAATGTTGTGCTTCAACACAAGGGTGCCTCAGCACGAATCATTCAGTGAGGCCCTGAAGGTATGAAGTTCATCGATACACGGTAATTTCAGGATTTGTGAAGTATGGTGTAAACACTAATTTTCCACCTTAAAACTATGAATTATGTAGTTTAATTTGTTAGTGAAATACAAGTGTCAAGTAACAAGTAAAAAATGTAAATAACAAAAGGCAAATAACGAGGGTAGTTGGCATTCCTCTTAATAGTATCTTACGAATGAGGTGATCTGAGTTAGTGGCGTAGCCAGGATTTTCAAATAATGGGGTCATGATTTCAACAAATAAAATTGCATTGGACCATTTCGTTGAGCACTTAGTAAAAACGTAAAGACATAAACTTTATTGGTCCTAAGTTCCATTTAAGGTTTTGATATAAAGGCTCCCAACCAGTGATGTAGCCAAGATTTTCAAATAATTGGGTCATGAGTTCGACAAAAAAAACTGCAATGTACTATTTCATTGAGCACCTAGTAAAAACATGTCAATTCTTGCCAACATCTGCTTAAGGCTTATGCCAACATATGTCAACAATTACTATGATACGTAGAGGCTTGTCAAGAAATTGTAGAGTAATGTTGAAGACTGCCAAGGCTTGTCAACTAAGACATTTCATTCGAGCATTTCGTGGGCACAACAAAGTCGGACACAAGAAGAGAGAAAAGGAAGACAAGATAGAAAAAAATAGAAGTAGGAGAATGATGTTGTAATTTAGTTTGCCCTAACTGTTTATAAGGGTCAAATAAAATACACATGCAAATATAGATATCAGGTTTTAAGTTGTTTGAATCATAAACAACCAATGATCCTATGTTGGCTTTGATCGGAGCGCCTTATGGACTTTTTCCTCCATCCCCCTACATTTGATAGATCCACGTGTATCTATGCTTGATTAAAGTACAACCATAATTTTGTTGAACTACGAAGTAGATTCCCATTGATTGTGTAAACGTGCTTATCCAACCTAAATTTATTCCTATTCCAACATAAAATCTTGGCCGCCAATGATAGATCTTAAAAGGCAAATCGAATTTTTTATTTAATTAAACAATAATAAAACTAGAATATTTTACAGGAAATAATTAATTAGAGGTTACAGGATTTGTTACAATACATCGAGAAGCAGGAGATCGAATCATTAAAAAAAGCGTAAAGTAAAAGATGCCCAAAGGTAATTAAGAATAGGGCCTCAGACGGATTAGGGCTGTCTTAGGGTTTTGCTTAAAGGGAAAATTTTATTTAAAACCATTAATTCTATTTGCAAATAATTTTTTTTTTTTAACAAACGATATTATCTATACTAAAAATGAGAGTGAACTTAATCTCATAATGGGCTAGCAATAATATGGTCCAAACTCGCTTTTAACGAGAATCAAACTTATGCTCACTTAAATGAAAAGGAATATTACTAAACCGTAATATCGAATTTAAGCTCATTTAAATGAAGAAGAATATCATTAAACCGTAGCAAGTAGCAACTCAACTTAATTTTTTAATCGCATGAAGACACTAATTGGGTTTGAATAAAATTTATCATTATAAAATACTAATCATCCTTAGATTTGCCTTTGCCTTCACTGCAACTCTCTCTCCTCCTATATATATTCACAGTCTCACCGTCTCTCTCTCGCTTTCAAACGCTCCGCATAAATCCATATCGGAACTTTTAACCTTTTACGATGGCTGAGGAGAGATCGACCGGGAAGGTGCGGTGGTTCAACGACGTCAAGGGCTACGGCTTCATCACCCCCGACGCCGGAGGCGAGGACCTCTTCGTCCACCAGTCCTCGATCAGATCCGACGGATTCCGCACCGTCGCGGAGGGTGAGTCCGTCGAGTTCCTCATCGACTTCGGCGATGACGGCAAGACCAAGGCCATCGATGTGACAGGCCCTGACGGTGCGCCGTTGATCGGTAACAAGAAGGAGAGCTTCGGTCACTCTGGTGGCCGTGGCGGAGGTGGTGGTGGTTCTGGATTTAGCGGTGGATGGAGAGGCGGTGACCGGAGGAATGGGGGCGGTTCCGGTGGTGATGGGTGCTATAGTTGCGGCGAGCCTGGGCACATGGCTAGAGATTGCCGTCAGGGCAGTGGTGGTGGCGGAGCCGCTGGTGGTGGCTGTTTTACTTGCGGTGGGTATGGCCACGTGGCAAGGGCCTGCCCTAATGGGAGTATCGGTGGTGGTGGAGGTGGTGGCGGAGGCGGCTGCTACAAGTGTGGTGCATTTGGGCATTTGGCTAGGGACTGTGCTACTGGTGGAGGAAGCGGCGGCGCTGGCGCTTGCTATAGCTGTGGGGCTTATGGCCACATGGCCAGGGATTGCAGCAGCGGTGGTGGGGATGGCGGTGCTCGTGGAGGAGGACGATATGGATTCAGCTCTGGATCAGGTTGTTATAACTGTGGGGAATCAGGGCATTTTGCTAAGGAGTGTTCTAACCCTCCTAATGCCAAGGCTTGAAGAAAATAAAAGAGAAGAGAGAGAGTAATAGTAAATATTCTCTTGAAGAATCTTTAGTCTTTTTTTACTAAAGCATTAGTCTTTTGGTAATTGGGTCTCTTAATTTTGCGTTTTGGTGGGATATACATATGATGGTTTTTGCAAAAGGGTTTTAATTTCTCTGATGGTTGATAAGTGTTGTCGTTTGGCAAACAAGTTTTCCCCTTTTACATACATATATGTGGAGGTTCGGCTATAGAACTAGGTGCCCTTTTCATATTAATCCTTGTTATCGATGACTCTCGGAGCTATTAAATTGAAAGCCTTATATTTCAAGTGTTAACCTTGGTCTCTACTTTCAATAATCGAACAATGTCTGTGGTTTGATGATGTTCTTTTTGTTGGAAGTTGAATTAGATATTTTCAACTGTTGTGGCAGTACACAGCTACATGGTCTTGATTTTCTTGTCAAGTGTGAATTTATGGTATCTCTAATGCATTGATGTGGTGGTTTGGCCGTGTTCTAGTATTTTCGGTTTGGCGGAAGTTGAATTGAATGTCTTCAATTGTCTTCAACTTTAGGCAATAGAGTTGATTATCATCTTGTTTGCAGCTAGGTATTGCCACTTGCTTTTGTCATTGTTGTTGATACCGCATTGCTTATCAGGATCCTGTTTAAATTTGCTAGTTGTTACATCTTGTTGATGTTGAGAGATCGAGATCATGTCTAGTCTAGAAAAACTTTGAGGTGTTTCGATCATTAGGAGAAAAGGAGATGAACCAGTTGCTTTTGTGTTATTAGTTAATAAGGGATATGATTTGTAAGCGTATTGTTCTGATTATGCTTGATTAGTGAACTTGTGATAATCTTTGTCATAATTGATTGTTACATATAGTATAGCTGCCGCCGTGGTGCTGCATTCACTCGAAACCTACTGTTGTGTTTGCTCCACAAGGCCCCGAATTCACATTTACACTGTCTTGATTTGGGTTTAGGTTGTATTATAGCATAAGCTTGGGTTTTGATTGTTGTTTTTTGTGTTAGGTGGACGTTGGATTTGAAGTTTTAAATCACATCTAGCATTAGGATTTGACGAACAGATTGTAATAGGGTATGTGTGTGTCAGTTCATATCTGTTGTTGCTTAAGTGATGGTGGGTGGGGGTAGGGCTGCAAGTGACTTAAGCAGCTTGTCACTCCCATCTGGGTCTGTTTGGTTCTACCCAAGAAAAGCCTTTTAAGCCTTCCCGGCAAAGTGTTAGTATATCCCGAGCTCAGTTTTCAAACTAGCATAAGCTTTAATAGGACCTGTCAAGCTTGCGAATCCTTTCACGTGGATTGTTTACCTTCGAATGTTGATGGATAGATTAGAGTGTTGCTTCTATAAATCTTTTGTCGATCCCTGTCTGCCTTTGTGTGGTTTCCTTCCTGTTTAGCCCCGTGTTTCAAGGTTACGGTATAACTTTCCTCTTGTAGCTGTAAGCCTTTTACTTAGCTCTGGACATTAAACGCTTGGAGTGAATCGTTTTCCTACTTATCTGTCGGTCCCTGCTCATTGTGCTGTATGGATACTTGATAGGTCAGGCAATAGGGATAGTTACTAACTGAACATTTGGAAATCTGTGATGGTCTTTATATGAAGAGAACCTTCAGGCGGATGTCATGTTCTTGTATATTTCAACATTGAAGGTGCTCTAATTCGGCTCGTGATGACAGCGGCCAAAACCTATTGTATGCATTGCTTGGTTCTTATTTTTGGTAATCCTGTCACAAATGTAGATACAAGACTGTCACGTATTGAAGCTGCACTGAGAGGAAATAGTAATTAAACGTGCAAATCACTTTCACTCCCATCTGGGTCTCTCTAAAATTTCATCTCTCCAAAATTTCATCTCTCTCCTCCTTCAAACCACTTTCTCTCTCTAGAACTCCCTCGCCGCTGCCTTTTCTCTAATGGTTGCATATGGGTCTGCATAAACCCTATGACGAGTAAGTACCTTCGATCTGTTATTTTCAGTGTTTTGAAAAGGGTTAGCTGAACCTCATTTGATTAGAAAATATTGAGAATTTGAGAAATTCGAGTTTCGGATTACTACAGTGATGTCGAAAGAAGAAGACCGACCTGTAATAGAATATGAATCAAAAGGAGAAGAAGAAAGGCAGCTTTTCAACGGAAAAGCTAAAACCAACCCTTCGACCTCCTCATCACGGCGGCGGGTGCTTCTATATTCATTGTTTCTCTTCTTTTTGTATGTGCAAATCTATGCTTGCTCACTGATTATTTTAAAATTTTGATTCTTTTTAAATTTTAACTTATTATTTTGAATTTTTTTTTTGTTGTATTTTAATTGCAGGATGAGCAAGCTGTTGTTTGGTTTTGGCCGGAGAAAGGGAAGCCACATGAATGCCCAGTATGCACACAATACTTTGTGGTAAGTGAAGGCTTGAACTTGATGTGATATAATTTTTTTTCCAGCTCCCTGATCTGGACTGGGGAAACGGATCCAAATCCAGATATGAACTTTTATGTTATTTTTTGGATTATGATCCAATGGCATGTGGTTGGAACAACTGCCATTGGATTATGATCCACTGGCATGTGGTTGGAACTCGATAATCTATAATACATCTGATTGTTAGATGGAGGTGGCCGTATTGCTGGAAACGAAGCCACCAAGTTCTTCGCCATGTCCAAGCTTTCTCGAGAAGAACTCAAGCAGGTTTTCATTCTTTTGCGATAGCAGGCTTATAGTTTTCTTTGTTTATAGGGATTGCTTATGTAGAAGTCACTGTTGCTCATAAGTGCTTTTAGTAAAAACACTTTGAAATTTTTATAAAAGTCCAAATACTTATTTGAAAGCACATTACAGGTTCTCAGAAGCGCTTCTATATATTGTGTCAATCACAGTCAAAAGTGGTTTTGGTTGTGAGAAATGAAAATGCTTCTCTCTTAGCTGTGTCTTCCTTTTACCTCCCTTTTTACTTTATATCATACATTGTGACTTTCACTTACTATTTTCTTGATTCTATACTGACAGAAAACCAAGAGTTTAACAGCATATGGAGTTGAAGTAAATGGTTAGAAAATCGATCCAGCTTTTTTGGGAATGTGCTACAATCTGAATCGGAAGGAGAAGAAGAAAGCCAGCTTTTCAATGGATAAAATCAATCCCCTCGACCTCCTCTTCATCGGCGGCGGCAGCGGCGACCACCAGGTTCATTTTTTTAATTTCATTTCAATTTTTTGCTTTTTAAAGAAAATGAAACGGATGATAATTTAAACTCCAAATTTTAAGAAAATGAAACGGATGATAATTTAAAATGGTGAATTTTTTTATTTTTATTTTTGTGTTTAGTATATCGAGCTGTGATGGGTTGGTGTTGGATTATGTAGAAGGGTTTTACTTTGAATGTTTTTTTGTAGCATAAGCCCTCGATAACGTTAAGCACTTGAAGAGATGTTTATAAAGAATCTGATCTGTTATAAAGTAGTTTAGTCTTTGAAGTCAACCACAAATTTTAAATTGGGTTATAGATGCTATTGTTTGATTCTGCAATTGTAGCAAAGGGGTTAATCATTCTCTTATCAAACATTTATTTTAAGCTCATGTAACATAGATTATAGTATTAATAACAAGCCTATCACAACATCCCACAATCTATCATAATCTGTGTATACCCTTTTTTCCCTGATATCGTGTGTCCTGCAAAACTCATTTATGGTTCAGATTAATTCAAAGTCATGCTATCGATATACATGGGAAATTGTCAAACAAGTTTCCATCTATCCCAGGAATCTTTTTCTCTCTTGTTTTATGTGTTTTTTTTTTTTACAATTAGTTTATTTGCTCTGGCTTCAATGAAAGGATGCGAGATTTACACTGCTCGATAATCTATAAACATTGAAAACAATAGAAGGTTAGCTGGTGAGATGAAGTGGTTAGCATGATTTGCTCTCCCTTCCATTTACATGCAATCAGCTTTTCTAAATTGACTTTCTTTTCATGAGATACCTTTTCAATTCCATTCCATACTCGGAAGATGAAACTGAGAGCAAGAATCGAAAACATCATTGCAAATATAATTGGATCTGTTTTCGTTGCTCAAACAAAAGTCACTCACAGTTTGTAGTAAGCTAAAATTCGTAAGCATACCTTTGATTTCCTAAGCGTGGAGAAAAAACTTAATATTATATTCTAATTTATATTGTTCCTGACAGAAAATTCGACTTTAAAATAGTCGATTTCGTTCACCCTTATCCACTCTCATACTTTTGATCTGAACTAAGAATGAAAATGAAATCAACTGAAAAGCGAAATATGGATTACAACTTTTCCTTACGTATTAGACCAATTTGGTTTGAGCATGATTGACTTGATTGGTTTGCGCGTGAATATGATTTTGATAATTTGGATTCGTATATGATTTAAGGTTTAAACTTATTCATCATATCATCTGTTGTTCAAACCATATATATATACATATATATGTTGTTTCTTCATTTTTACTAAACCTATCACTTACATTATCAACTTGTATTTTTTTTTTCTTTTCAATTTGTAATAGAGAAATGGAAACACCTGCACATAAGAAGAAAAAAGGAAGTTTTAAAATGCAATGAAAGATGATGTGAGAACTTGCGATGATGGAGTTGTATAGCTATTTTTGCTGCATAGATAGAGATGAGCAACCATGGATGTGAGATGACATACTTTTGTACTCAAACCAATCGTTAAAATAAAAAGTTGATTGGTCAAGCGTATAAAGATTGCTAAAATATTTTGGAAAATAAGCAATTAATGATGTAGATGAGAGAATTTAGATGATATTTGAACCTATTATTTCCTTCATTTATTCAAACATTTATTGTGATGTTCAAATATACTTTGGATGATTTTTAGATTTTGATATTGATGTAAATAAATTTTATATATACTTCTCTTACAAATAGCTTGTAATATTATTCATACTCTTTTCAATATACAATGATGATTCTTACTCGCAGCTTTGCATTTCATCGGACACCACGTATGGTTGATGCGTCCTAAAGCTTGTCTGAGAGGCCCAACTCTTTTGTGGTTCCCACCACAAATCAAAATCTTTGGAATTTCATTTCTCCTGTCTCTCTCTCCGTCCTCCCCCACCGCGTTTGCTAATTGAGATTAGCAGGGGAGGATAGAGTGGGTGGTAGGGGCCCGGGGGGTGCGCCTTTCAAACGTATGCAGAATTGGTGCTTCCTAAAGCTTGCATGAGAGACCATATAACAAACAAACAGAGTGACAAAGAAAATCCATTTGCTTGTGTTGGTAGGCTTTCTTTGTTGTTGCTGTTCGTTTGTGTTGTTCCCGTTGGTTGGCCGTGGGTTGTCGGTCCCGCACGCCTTGCTGAAACCAATATCCACCTTACAAATAGAATTTCGTGGAACTTGTCAAATCAAAGGCAGAGAATTGCAGACGTGCAAATGAAAATCCAATTCGACGGATGATTCTTTGTCAAGCAGTGGTGGCTTTGGCTTTGGCTTTGAGTGTGATTAATTAATGTAATTACTAATTAATTAATATAAATAAAATAGATAAGCAGTGGGAGGATCGAGCGGGTGGTAGGTAGGTGGTGCGGGGACAATACTTGGGTACTGCCTTGTCAGTACCCAATTTACTCACCCTCTTAGTCGGCCCACTAAAATCACAACACCTGTCAAAAAAAAATTTAACACAAACCTACAACGAAACACCATATTCTTCCCTTTAAACCTATAACCAAACATCATCATCTTCCTGCCCTTTCTGGGTTACCATGGCAAATCTGTCATGGTTGCCGTCAGCCCCATCCCCTATTTGGTCGGATTTATTGGTTTTCATCAGTGTTGCAGAGGAAGGGTAACGATGGAGTAGAGATATCTGAGGTCTGGGGTGGCTCGACCATTGGAGGATGGAGTGGAGTGTGGGGTGTGATCGACGGAGGACAGCGGTTGGAGGAGAGATGGGAGTGGATAGTGGGTGGTGATTGGTGAGGCTACTTGAAACTGTATGGAACGTGGAAGGTCTGCGTCTATGGAACGTGGAAGCTCTGCATGTAGGAAGAAGATAGGTGTTGTATTTCTATTGGACCACTTAATAAGGTGAGTAAATTGGATAATATGGTCCTTATTACGTTGCGTTGTCTGCACAAGTTGCCGCCACTACAAATAGACACAAAAGACAGAAAAACCAATCTCCCTGCACGCCCTGCTGAAACAAAAAAAGCACAGAAAAAAGGAGACGTTTCAGATTTCACTTCCGATGGCTTCCCATCAAGTTTTTTCATCCTTCCTTTTCCTTCTCTGTCTCCTTCAATCCATGAGAGTCGGCTACCCGGCGACGTTCACCATCGCAAACAAGTGCACCACCACCATATGGCCGGCCATTCTGTCTAATGCCGGGACTTACCAGCGACCGGCCACCACTGGATTCGCTTTGCCTCCTGGAGAGTCCAACACGTTTTCCGTCCCCACCTCGTGGTCCGGTAGGTTATGGGGGCGAACGCTCTGCTCCCAAGACTCAACCACAGGCAACTTCACTTGCTTGACAGGCGACTGCGGATCTTCGGCAGTCGAATGTGCTGGCGGTGGAGCCGCGCCGCCGGCTACTCTCGCAGAGTTCACGCTGAACGGTACGGGTGGGCTTGATTTCTACGACGTGAGCTTGGTCGATGGGTATAATCTTCCCATGTTGGTGGTGGCCGAGGGCGGGACCGGAGGGAACTGCACGTCCACCGGGTGCGTTGTGGACTTGAACAAGGGGTGCCCCTCGGAGCTGAAGGTGACGGCGAGTGAGGAGGGAGTGGCGTGTAAAAGCGCGTGCGAGGCGCTTGGGGAGCCGCAGTACTGCTGTAGCGGGCCGTACGCTACGCCGGACACATGCGTGCCGAGTTCTTACTCGCAGTTTTTTAAAAATGCGTGCCCGAAAGCTTACAGCTATGCGTATGACGACAGCACCAGCACCTTCACCTGTGCTTCCGCCAATTACATCATCACTTTCTGCCCTGCTCCTTCGATCGGGTAACCATTTGCACTATTGATGATTTTAAGACTAAAATCGTCCTAATGCCAAGGCTTGAAAAATAAAAGAGAAGAGACAGAGTAATAGTAAATATTGTCTTCAAGAACCTTTTATATTTTTTTGCTAAAGCATTAGTCTTTTGTAATTGGGTCCCGTAATTTTGCGTTTTGGTGGGATATACATATGATGGTTTTTGCAAAAGGGTTTTAATTTCTCTGATGGATGATAAGTGTTGTCGTTTGGCGAACAAGTTTTCCCCTTTTACATACATATATGTGGCCGTTCGGCTATAGAACAAGCCCCGGCCGGCTGGTCCGGTCGCTTCTGGACATTACACGCTTGGAGTGAATCGTTTTCCTACTTATCTGTCGGTCCCTGCTCATTGTGCTGTATGGATACTTGATAGGTCAGGCAATAGGGATAGTTACTAACTGAACATTTGGAAATCTGTGATGGTCTTTAAATGAAGAGAACCTTCAGGCGGATGTCATGTTCTTGTATATTTCAACATTGAAGGTGCTCTAATTCGGCTCGTGATAACAGCGGCCAAAACCTATTGTATGCATTGCTTGGTTCTTATTTTTGGTAATCCTGTCACAAATGTAGATACAAGAGTTTTTACTGTCACCTATTGAAGCTGCACTGTAGAGGAAATAGTAATTAAATGTGCAAATCCTTTTCACTCCCATCTGGGTCTCTGAGACTAATATGATCATGTACTGTTGATTAAAATATTAATATCTTGAAAAGCTAGAGGGGCTAAAATGAACCATCTGACCAACCTTGGATTGAAGATTTGGATTGAAGATGGTCTAAGTGTCCCAAATAGTTGACGATGATACCACATATGATTGAACAAATATCATCCATGTACAGAATTGAAACTTTTCTCTCCGTGTGAGAGTTCCTTCTCTCTTCTTGAGAGTCTTTTCCACCATCTGTGTGTGAGTGATTCCCTCATCGATTAAAATTGTTGTCGAAGGCCCTCGCTGTGGCGGGGGTTGGAGGAAAGGTTTTTGTTTTGCTTTTTGTTTCTCAGTTTTTTTGTTACTGTTCCTCCCAGTTCTTCCTGATTTACCCAAAATGTCTCTACCCAACGCCTGTTTTCCCCCACATACTTTCAACTCGATCTGCTGTCAGATTTCAAAGCACATGGTTGCGATCGTTTTAGGGGTACGTAGAGCTCCGGTGGACTCATTGGCTCGGGTGTTTAACACACCACCTCCTTCTCCTTCTCTCTGTCTACCTTCGTTGGCAGTGTCTACCTTGTATGTGTAATCTAAAGTTTGAAATAAAATTGTCTCCTTTCTTCGGAAAGGTTATTCCAAAAAAAAAAAAAAAAGAAAAAGAAAAAGAAAAGAAGGTGCTCCCAACTCTTCCATGGTTCCAACTTCCAACCACAAATCAAATGGTTCCAACTTCCAACCACAAATCAAAATCTCACATTTCTTTTGTGGTTCCCACCACAACTCTTCTGGAATTTCAGGGGAAGCTCTGCTTTATCCAATTTATTAAGCAGTGGTCCCACCACAACTCTTCTGCATGTCCGCTGAAAATATCAGAGCAGTCGATGAACGTACCAACTATTTACCTTTTTTTAAAATTTTTTTTTTATGTTTGGTCAAATCAAATATCCACCTTAAACGTGGAATTTCGACACATGTCCACTTGTCACATATTTGCTTTACAGGTAATAAAGTTCACAAACATATAAATAAAATAGATTAGCATATTATTACAATGCCTTCTCTGCACAAGTTGCCGCCTATAAAACTAGAGACGCAAAACACACGTCACATATTCTTCCCACACGACACGACTGCTAACTCTCTCCTCTTTCCCTATAAAAAAGCAACATTCTCCCACACCACCTACTGAAACAAAAAGAGCACATTTCACTTCCAATGGCTTCCCATCAAGCTTTTTCATCGTTCCTTTTCCTTCTCTGTCTCCTTCAATCCATTCGAGTCGGCTACCCGGCGACGTTCACCATCGCAAACAATTGCACCACCACCATATGGCCGGCCATTCTGTCTAATGGCGGGACTGACCAGCGACCGGTCACCACCGGATTCGCTTTGGCTCCTGGAGAGTCCAACACGTTTTCGGTCCCCACCTCGTGGTCCGGTAGGTTGTGGGGGCGAACGCTCTGCTCCCAGGACTCAACCACGGGCAACTTCTCTTGCTTGACAGGCGACTGCGGATCTTCTGCAGTCGAATGTGCTGGCGGTGGGGCCGCGCCGCCGGCTACTCTCGCAGAGTTCACGCTGAACGGTACGGGCGGGCTTGATTTCTACGCCGTGAGCTTGATCGATGGGTATAACCTTCCCATTTTGGTGGTGGCCGACGGCGGGACCGGAGGGAACTGCAGGACCACCGGGTGCGTTGTGGACTTGAACAAGGGGTGCCCCTCGGAGCTGAAGGTGACGGCGAGTGAGGAGGGAGTGGCGTGTAAAAGCGCGTGCGAGGCGTTTGGGGAGCCGCAGTACTGCTGTAGCGGCCCCTACGCTATGCCGGACACATGCATGCCGAGTTCTTACTCCCAATTTTTTAAAACTGGGTGCCCGAAAGCTTACATCTATGCGTATGACGACGGCACAAGCACCTTCACCTGTGCTTCCGCCAATTACATCATCACTTTTTGCCCTGCTCCTTGGATTAGGTAACCATTTTCACTATTGATGAGTAAGTTATGATCTCAACTGTAAGAAATAAATCGAAGATTGCGATGCCGTTGTTGTTTTGGTACAAAGTACTCCGATGATCAAGTTAATAAAATAAGAACCATTTTTGTACATATTTCTTTTACTTTTACGCCTCATTTTATAAGTATTGGCCGATACTACATCGGTGTCATTCAGTGCAAGATTTTTCAATTGAAGTTGATTTAGAGCAGCAATCCCATGAAACCAAGTACCTCAATTGGCTCAATTGGGCGGCAGAATAAAGCTCTCCCACACTAATACCAATTATACCTTGTGGCTTGCCTCCTAATTCTAAACCAAAACTCGCCATGTAACCAATTAATTAACCAACTCAACGGTGTTCTATCTAGTGTCCTTCAGACAAAGGTCATTGTCTCTTTGAATTTTGCAATATTGCATGTGATTCCTATTCTCTATTTTTAATAATATAAAAATTAAATCGACACTAATATGAGTGACACTTGGTGCCTCATTTAACAATTGAAAGGAATTTTTATTTTTTTTAAGTATTCATTTAATTGTATAATAATATGTTGTGTAACGGACCTGTTATGGACGCACTGAAAAATCGTTACTACATGACCCTTTGCATGCCTTTGTCTTGTGATTTTCGTTTTTTAAATACAACGATATTGAGAGTTATATACAAGCTAAACAGCACCGGCTTCGAGCTTCCCAAAGGCAGTTCCCGCGTTTTCCAAGCCCCGACCGGCTGATCCGGTCGCTTCTGGGGCCGAACTGGCTGCAGCTTTGACGGTTCAGGTCGCGGTTCTTGTCGACCGGAGACTGGGCCTCGGGCGAGCTCGAGTGCAACGGTGCTGGAGCTGCGCCACCGGCCACCTTAGCCGAGTTCACACTCGGCTCGGGTTCTCAAGACTTCTATGACGTCAGCCTCATTGACGGTTATAACTTACCAATGATCGTTGAGGGGAGTGGGGGAACCGTCCACCGGGTGCGTTACGGACCTCAGCCGTAGGTGCCCTGCCGAGCTCAAAGACGATATGGAGTGTTCTAATCCTCCTAATGCCAAGGCTTGAAGAAAATAAAAAAGAAGAGAGAGAGTAATAGTAAATATTCTCTTCAAGAATCTTTAGTGTTTTTTTGCTAAAGCATTAGTCTTTTGGTAATTGGGTCTCTTAATTTTGCGTTTTGGTGGGATATACACATGATGGTTTTTGCAAGAGGGTTTAAATTTCTCTGATGGATGATAAGCGTTGTTGTTTGGCGAACAAGTTTTCTCCTTTTACATACGTATATGCGGCGGTTCGGCTATAGAACTAGGCGCCCTTTTCATATTAATCCTTGTTATCGATGACTCTGGGAGCTATTAAATTGAAAGCCTTATATTTCAAGTTTTAATCTTGGTCTCTACTTTATAATCGAACGATGTGTGTGGTTTGATGATATTCTTTTTGTTGGAAGTTGAATTAGATATTTTCAACTGTTGTGGCACTACACGGCTACATGGTCTTGATTTTCTTGTCAAGTGTGAATTTATGGTATCTCTAATGCATTGATGTGGTGGTTTGACTGTGTTGTATTATTTTCGGTTTGGCGGAAGTTGAATCGAATGTCTTCAATTGTCTTCAACTTTAGGCAATAGAGTTGATTATCATCTTGTTTGCAGCTAGGTATTGCCACTTGCTTTTGTCATTGTTGTTTAAATTTGGTAATTGTTACATCTTGTTGATGTTGAGAGATCGAGATCATGTCTAGTCTAGAAAAACTTTGAGGTGTTTCGATCATTAGGAGAAAAGGAGATGAACCACTTGCTTTTGTGTTATTAGTTAATAAGGGATAGGATTTGTAAGCGTATTGTTCTGATTATGCTTGATTAGTGAACTTGTGATAATCTTTGTCATAATCGATTGTTACATATAGTATAGCTGCCGCCGTGGTGCTGCATTCACTTGAAACCTACTGTTGTGTTTGCTCCACAAAGCCCTGAGTTCACATTTACACCGTCTTGATTTGGGTTTAGGTTGTATTATAGCATAAGCTTGGGTTTTGATTGTTGTTTTTTGCGTTAGGTGGACATTGGATTTGAAGTTTTAAATCACATTTAGCATTAGGATTTGACGAACAGATTGTAATAGGGTATGTGTGTGTCAGTTCGTATCTGCTGTTGCTTAAGTGATGGTGGGTGGGAGTAGGGCTGCAAATGACTTAAGCAGCTTGTCACTCCCATCTGGGTCTGTTTGGTTCTACCCAAGAAAAGCCTTTTAAGCCTTCCCGGCAAAGTGTTAGTATATCCCGGGCGCAGTTTTCAAACTAGCATAAGCTTTAATAGGACCTGTCAAGCTTGCGAATCCTTTCACGTGGATTGTTTACCTTCGAATGTTGATGGATAGATTGGAGTGTTGCTTCTATAAATCTTTTGTTGATCCCTGTCTGCCTTTGTGTGGCTTCCTTCCTGTTTAGCCCCGTGTTTCAAGGTTACGGTATAACTTTCCTCTTGTAGCTGTAAGCCTTTTACTTAGCTCTGGACATTAAACGCTTGGAGTGAATCGTTTTCCTACTTCTCTGTCGGTCCCTGCTCATTGTGCTGTATGGATACTTGATAGGTTAGGCAATAGGGATAGTTTCTAACTGAACATTTGGAATTCTGTGAATGAACGGAACCTTCAGGCGGATGTCATGTTCTTCTATGTTTCAACATTGAAGGTGCTCTACTTCCCGCATCCATAAACCGGGATATGACTTCGGCTCGTGATAACAGCGGCCGAAACCTATTGTATGCATTGGTTCTGTTGTACAAGAGTTTTTACTGTCACCTGTTGAAGCTGCACTGTACAAGAAATAGTAATTAAACGTGCAAATCTGGTCTTAATTTGGGTTTGCAAATCTGATGGAGTGGATATTTCTCATCTTTTTGGACTTTCTGGGTTGACCTGAATTTGTGTTTTGAACTGACCCAAGGAGCATGGGCTGCAGCAATAGGCAAATGTTTTGGGTCTCTATCGGTCTGGCCCTTCAGGTTTTCAGAGGACACTGCCCCTGTTCCCCTTCTGTTTTTGCCCCAAACCCTTCCCCCGGGCTAGTTGTCAAGTTGCTTACTTGTAACGAAAGCAACATTCGCGCACTCGTCATCGTTGAAGTTTTAGGTTGCCTGCCCTGGGTTGGTGTCAAGTTGCTTGCTTGAAACGAAATCAACGTTTGCGCACTCGTCATTGAAATTTAAGGTTGAATTTCATTTTCTAATTGCTAATCTCATGATACCCACTTTTTTTATATTTGGTGAAGACCAATCCACCTCTCTCGCCCGCTAAAATTAAATATTAGAGAATCATATTGGCACTCGAAAATGAGATGAGTGTTGAATAACTATTTCGGAATGCTGGTAGAAACTCTGTATTAGTATTACAAGTTTCCAAGTTGAGATTGGCTTTCCAAGTTGGTATGTACATATCAAAAAACACCACTGTGTTTGAGAGGGATTGTTTACCATTTTCCACTACTTGAAGCCTTCAACTTGTTCAATCTTGTTCTGCGAAAGAGTAAGTGAAAGCTAGGTTAGAATCTTGAGAACAAGGCAATTGCTCAGGTCACGTCAATTTTGTACTCGATTGAAATGCGTTTTGTGGACTGTCATTTAAGAGCTGTTTTGCCATACAATCGGAAGTATAGCTTTTTTTGTACACGTACAAAATTTATGTACATCAACAATGAATAATACATTACATATATTAACGGCTGACAATCACCCAATTACAAGCTTCAAGAGTATGATATTTGATTCCGATTACCTAACCATGTTGCCTAGACCTAGGGAGGAAGACCGTGTCAGGATTTATTGAACACGTGGCAGTTTCCTAATGCATGACTCATGTTGCTTCTCACACAATAGTGTCGAAATTCCACGTGTAAGGTGGATATCTGCTACCTTCATTGACTGGTCTGATATTTTCAACTGACACGCTGAAAGTTCACGAGTCTGGCTTCTACCGGATCACTTCCCGAAATCCATATCCAAATCCAAACATGTAAGTTTGGAGCCGCACTTTCTGAGCTCTGGAATAAGCTCAAATTAATACAAGAAACTTTGCGCGTCCCAATAACAAGCAAGTTTTATAAACTTCTCCAAACGCATAAGTCGTTTAGCAGAGAAACTTAATAGAAATATAATTGTGTTATTGGCTCAAACTAATCAAACTAATCAACTTAATATAGTTGATTATTTAACTTTTGATAGTTTATAAATAGTTTCTGGTAATAATGCTGCAACAATATTCACATTGCTTGAAAGTTTTTCTAGTAAGTCGGCTAAATTATTTAGAGTAATGCATCGTTATGTTCACTCAAATTCAAAACTAGTTACCTTTACTTTAAAAAAAATCTCCATAGCATTTGTCTTAAAAATTTAATTTCTCTAACGTTACTCAAACTTTTCAAACATATTATTACAATGCCTTCTCTGCACAAGTTGCCGCCACTAAAAACAGAGACACAAAAACACGTCACATGATCTCTGCCATCGTGACTCGTGAGCCCCCCCTCCCCATATTCTCCCACATGACTCCCAACTCTCTCCCCTTCCCTATAAAAACCCCCTCTCCCACACTACCTGAAACAAAAAAGCACATAAAAAGGAGACATTTCACTTCCAATGGCTTCCCATCAAGTTTTTTCATCGTTCCTATTCCTTCTCTGTCTCCTTCAATCCATTAGAGTCGGCTACTCGGCGACGTTCACCATCGCAAACAAGTGCACCACGACCATATGGCCGGGCATTTTGTCGAATGCCGGGACTGACCAGCTACCCACCACTGGATTCGCTTTGGGTCCTGGAGAGTCCAACACGTTTTCCGTTCCCACCTCGTGGTCCGGTAGGTTATGGGGGCGGACGCTCTGCTCCCAGGACTCAACCACAGGCAAGTTCTCTTGCTTGACAGGTGACTGCGGATCTTCGGCAGTCGAATGTGCTGGCGGTGGAGCCGCGCCGCCTGCTACTCTCGCAGAGTTCACGCTGAACGGTGCGGGCGGGCTTGATTTCTACGACGTGAGCTTGGTCGATGGGTATAACCTTCCCATGTTAGTGGTGGCCGAGGGCGGGACCGGAGGGAACTGCACGACCACCGGGTGCGTGGTGGACTTGAACAACGGGTGCCCCTCGGAGCTGAAGGTGACGGCGAGTGACGAGGGCGTGGCGTGTAAAAGCGCGTGCGAGGCGTTTGGGGAGCCGCAGTACTGCTGTAGCGGCGCCTACGCTACGCCGGACACATGCAAGCCGAGTTCTTATTCGCAGTTTTTTAAAAATGCGTGCCCGAAAGCTTACAGCTATGCGTATGACGACGGCACCAGCACCTTCACCTGTGCTTCCGCCAATTACATCATCACTTTCTGCCCTGCTCCTTCGACCAGGTAACCATTTTCACTATTTTTTTCAAAGATGATCCATGACATGAAATTTGAAGAATAAACGGTTTAAATTATTAAAATTCGATGCGGAGTGAATAACCCATTAAGCGATTGTATCTCATGATCACGTTCGTTTGTCTGAGTTGCATTGTGTTTAGCTGTTACGTTGCATGACATGTTAAGCATGAGTTGGTTCTATTACAGTATGATCATAGAGCTAGTCTTAGTTCGAATCTGCGTTATAAAAAATTTGAAATATATTATTTATGTCACTTTAAACCTATTACGTGTGATTAAAGTCTTATCGAAGAACTATGAAAGTAAAACACAATTAAGATCCAATGTTGCGAAATTGTACGAGTATTTGGTGAAATTGTTGTTATACTTTACAAGATCGGTTGAGATTCGACCATTTTTGGATTGTCAAACATGTTAAGACATGGCTGTCACGTTTTTGTTTTAATAATTGACATGCATCGCCACAAGCACCGTCCACGCTTTATGATTGTAGGCAACTGCCACAAACATGTAACATTTTTTTTAATTATTTAATTACATTTTTTAAATTTATTTATCGTTTTAAAAATGAATTTCTGATTGTTTTTTAGTGAAATATTGACGGTGGGTTTTGCAGTGTGAAGTCGTCGAATGGGACAGTCCCTGGTGCAGTCGGTGTCTCAGCTAGTTTACGTAATACAACTCCCAACATCGTCGTTTTCGCCGTCACTGTTATGGCGGCGGCTTGGCGGTGGCTGCCGCTATTTTGAATCTCTGTAGCAGATTTCACACTAGAGATATCTCATCGGAGATCTGACGTAATAGGCCAGCAGTTTGATTTCGAAATACGTTGGGGGCCCAAACATGTTGACCTTTTCTGAAAGCAGACGTCGGAGAAAATGGGGCCCACGATTCGATCGGAGTTTACAACTTTGCACGTGGGTGTCAAACGGCGCCGTAACAAAGCTATGGCCCCATGTATGCAACTTTGGTGATACATACAAACACATACACACTGTGATCCACGTCGTCTGATTTCAAAAGGACACATCAGGAGCGTTGCCTTTGCTGCAATAAGCAGAAAGGGTTTTCCATTTCTTTTTACTTAATTATTGTCAATTTTCGGATTTTAGATTGAGATGTAAATAAGTATATATATTATAATAGAAAGTACATAGAATTAGTAGCTGGAAATGTAGTTCTTTTGCTGCTAGATGTATGTTTTGGTCAGCATCATCATGAAAGTCCGAACAAAATGTGGTCATGTCGTTGTTTCACACTTCGAATTTCTGATCAAAACATGCAACAACAAAGAGCATATTATCGAATTAATTAACATTTCATCTTTCTAATTAGTGTGATAATTGAATTGAATTTACGTTTTGACGTAGAACAACACAAAGTGAGCAGATAAAACTGCTTTTTCAACCATTTCTTGTAGATAAAACGGGTTGATCAATTAAGTAGCTTTTACACCTAGACATTGCTACATGCATGTGCATGGAAAGCAATCCGAATTGGCTATGCACTTTTCCATTTCTCATTCATATTTTTTATTTATTTAGAAACTTTAATTCCATAAGTTGTACGTAGAATATAAAGAAAATTAATGAAAATGACTTGAAAACTTTGACTTTTAATGATAAGGACAAAATAAAGAGTAAAGTGAATAATACCAGGTTTGACTTTTTAGTGTAAAAATGTGGTTTTTCGTTAAAGTGAACAGTATTGTTGACTTTTCGTTAAAACTCTCTAGAATATAACCAGTAAAGCTTTATATTCTTTCTAGCTAATTTCCCAACTTTTTTTTTTCTGATCTAAAAGACCAATTATGACAAACCAAGTCAGAGCACATCTTAGTACTAATTTGAAAGTGATTTTAAAATGATTGAAAACGTTTTTTTTTTTTTAAATTCTGGTTCCAAAAACACTTCCAAGATTCACTTGCATTTTTACTAAAACTGGTTCTAAAAACATTTTCACCAAAAGCTATTTCAGTCATTTTGAAAGTATTTCCAAACCAGCCCCCTTAATCATTTTAAATGTTGGATACTTAAGTTAAGATTCTAAATGTCTTAGTCACCTTAATTAATGTAATCAACATTTTGTTGAACAAGTTACAGAAGATTCTTTACTCGTGATCAAATAACGAAAATGTTTGCATTGACTTCCTGGCAGGACCATGCATACATATATACATTGTAGAGCAAGTAAAACGTGAAATTTTCATACAAACCGTCCCTGGAGGAAGATGAAAATTCATATCTAAGAGCCTGTTTTTAGTTTTTTATTTTTGTATTTTATGCTAATCTGGTCAAGCTTCCTCTTCATGTTTGTAGCATAGTCATGTGCGAGCCGGTGCAACTGTTTATTCTCATGCTTGAGCCCTCTAATCTCCTGTTTGAGACTTATCACTTCAGCCGCCAATGATTCAACTTGGCGGGTTCGAGCAAATAGGCGTTGGGCCATATTAGACACAGAACCTGCACACTGAACACTGAGAGCCAGAGAATCCTTAACAGCTAACTCATCAGACCGTTTGGAAAGTAGTCTGTTATCTTTGGGAGTGAGAAGGTTCCTGGCCACCACCGCAGCGGTCATATCATTCTTCATCACGGAATCCCCAACGGTAAGAGACCAGTAGGGGAGACGAAGGATGGACGCCATATTTGTCAGGAGAAGGCGGGGCTGCCTCTTCAACAAGGTTCAAGTCAAAACGACGGTCGGAGGGGCCAGACATTTTCAAAGGTGTTGAAGAGAGAAGAGGTCGGACAAATCAAGATCTTAGAAGTGCAAGAATGGAGCTTCTACTGGTGGAGATTCAAGTGTGCTTTGGAACTTAATGCCAGCCCCTATAAAAATCTGCACTCGACGGAGCTTTAGAAATCGAAGAGGCGCCTGCTCAGAAATCGAAGAGGCGTTTGCTTTCTCAAAAGCAAGGCTGCTCAGATACCACGAGGGTCGATCTCAGAAATCGAAGAGGCGTTTGCTTTCTCAAAAGCTGGGCTGCGCAAAGACCACGAAGGCCGATCTCAGAAATCGAAGAGGCACTTGCTTTCTCAAAAGCTGGGCTGCTCAGAGACCACGAGGGCCGATCTCAGAAATCGAAGAGGCACCTACTTTTCCAGCCTTGTCAGCACCTGTCACACGCACACTTAGCTTTGCGGAAATTATGGGCATTCGGTCGAAGACTTCTGGTGAAGTAGAAAGCACATGAGTTTTACTGTTCAATCACCCACTTCCCACACGCAACAGTAGCTCATGGGTACCACAGATAACTTTGCCAAAGTTCTCTGCCAAAGTTGAACATGTGAAGCTTGCAGCTCCCACTATATCGCTCTGACCAAGAAGGGTAAAAGAATAGCAAAGAAACAACACTAACAAAGTTTAGACACATAAATTTTGAAGGTCTAGCTACCATATTATTACCCACAAGGGTAAAGGAACAGTACCACTGCTGGATAATTGGAAAGTCCTTGTGTGTCAACCTCTGTGCTTCATGGCAAGGTAGACTAGCAAACATGCCCAACCTTTAATCACATTCGAGAAAACACTCCCAACAAGATTGCTTGCTCCAAAATCGAAGAGGCACCGTCCTCCGAATCTCGAGAGCCAGACTCCCAACATGACTACTTTCTCAAAAATCGAAGAGGGTAAAGGAACAGTACCATTGCTGGATAATTGGAAAGTCCTTGTGTGTCAACCTCTGTGCTTCGTGGCAAGGTAGACTAGCAAACATGCCCAACCTTTACTCACATTCGAGAAAACACTCCCAACAAGATTGCTTGCTCCAAAATCGAAGAGGCACCGCCCTCCGAATCTCGAGAGCCAGACTCCCAACATGATTACTTTCTCAAAAATCGAAGAGACACCGCTTTCCGAATCTCGAGAGCCAGACCCCCAGCATGATTGCTTTCTCAAAAATCGAAGAGGCATCGTTCTCCGAATCTCGAGAGCCAGATCCCCGATAGGATTGCTTGTTCGAAAACCGAAGAGGCAACACTTTCCCAACTTCAAGAGCTGGATCTCCTTGGATAAAGTTGTCTGTAATCTTCACACGCAACATCAGCTTTCCAGATACCACAAACCACTTTTTCAAAGTGCTCTGACAGCGTTAAAACATGTGAAGCTGACAGCTCTTACTACCGTGCTATGACCAAGTAGGGTAAAGGAATAGCATTACTACTTGTTGTTAAGGAGACTCCTATATATGTCGACCTCCATCCCCAACGGACAGGCAGACCTGCAAAAATGTTCAACCCTTCCTCATATCTGAGAGGGCACTCCCAACGAAGCCTTTCGAAATATTCAGCTTTCTTTCCCCCCAATAATCCCTCTGCAAACAAGCTATACTAGAGCAAGAATATCTCATATCATCAGGGTTAAAAGCAAGAGTATCCCATATCATGCTTTTTCCCTGTCTTTTCCTTGGACCTTGTTCTTACCTGCAAGACAAGGAGAAAGAGAGCAATCAGTTAGTACTTGGAATCAAGCTTCCAGCCAGGAACTGACTGCCTGGAACCCCTTACCTGATTACTTACCTGACATTGCTCTCGAGTACTCATCTTCAACATCTTATGCTTCTAGGGAAGATACCGCATCTGCCTGAGGAACAGATAGGGCAAGGGAGAAGGATACAAGGAAGCATGTGGAGACAAGCGTAACAGCACACGTGCCGATACATCCATTACTCTGTCAAAGCAAAAGTATCCCATATCAGCAGGGTCGAACGTACTCTAGATTTGATGGACTTGTTTTGACCCTCAAATTCTTCAGTCGGCCTTATACTCTGGAGGAAACCAGAAAACCCTCTAGCTCAGTTCAAGAATAAGCCTGTGGAAAGTTACTTCTTCAAAAGCAAAAGTATCCCATATCATCTCATCTCATTTTCTTCTCTTTATCCTTCATGCTGCCTGCAAGATAGGGAGACTGTGAACAATCAGCCGGAGCTATGATTGCTTACCTTGTCTGTCACCTCTTTCAGCAGATCCCCTAGCTCGGCGACTTGGGGGACTCCTACTACATGGTTTGTATCGCGCTTGACCAAGCCTGAAACTACAAGTAAGCTTCAAGTGAAATTGATACATTACCTTGTGCATCTCCACCAGTTAAAGATACCACCCCGGGATGGAGAAAGAGTACTTCCAGAGAAGATGCCCCATCTACCTATGAGATAGATAAGGCACGTCAAGACGATACCACACTCCGATACTTAGAAGTTTCGTGATTACGAGATCATTCTCCCACAATATTTCCTAATGTCTTTTGTACTAAATTATTCACTTGTACTCACTAAAGGAGAGCTTGAACCTATGTACTTGTGTAAACCCTTCACAATTAATGAGAACTTCTCTATTCCGTGGACGTAGCCAATCTGGGTGAACCAAGTACATCTTGTGTTCGCTTTCCTATCTCTATCCATTTATATACTTATCCATACTAATGACCGGAGCAATCTAGCGAAGATCACAAAAAGCGACCGTTTTCGCTACCTAAGATCTATCGTGCAAGAGAACGGAGAATTAGATGGAGATCTCAACCATAGAATACAAGCTGGGATGGATGAAGTGTAAGAGTGCATCCGGCGGGTTGTGTGTGACCGTCATAGGTCACTGAAGCTCAAGGGAAAATTTTATAGGACGGCAATAAGGCCAGCGATGTTGTATGGCACAGAATGTTGGGCGGTGAAGCATCAACACGTACAAAAATGGGTGTGGCGGAGATGAGGATGCTTCGTGGGATGTGTGGGCACACGAGAAAGGATAAGATTGGGAATGAGGATATCCGAGGTAAAGTAGGAGTAACCGAAATTGAAGGAAAGATGAGAGAAAATCGGTTCCGGTGATTTGGACATGTGCAAAGAAGGCCTACTGACGCTCCGGTTCGAAGATGTCACTACTGGACAGAGGTTCAGGGCCGAAGGGGTAGAGGAAGACCTAGGAAAACTTTGGAAGAGACTCTAAGAAAAGACTTAGAGTACTTGGATCTAACGGAGGACATGACACAAAACCGAGCGCAATGGCGTTCTAGGATTCATATAGCCGACCCCACTTAGTGGGAAAAGGCTTTGTTGTTGTTGTTGTTGTTGTATGCTTGAGATATGAGGAAATTTATATGAAAGAAACGAGACCTAGAAGAAGAATGGTGATGGAAAAGATAAATAAGCAAAATGAAACAAAGTCTCAAAAGCGAAATAACTTAAAATAATTTTTTATTTTCATTTGCGGGAGAAAAAATCAAATTGCCTACGACTTTACGCAAGGTATATATCTAATCTCCGTTATTAATTGTTTTCTAATGTGCATTAATTTATGCTGAACTTAGCAACAGAAGTTA